AACCAGCTTCATGTTCCAGGAACAAATAGTTTGGTATGCCTGGAGCTGGCTTTAATTAGGAAGGCATCGTTAACTGGAGGAAGATAAGTTCTGGGAGACTGGTACATCAACAGAGAAATATTTTTCATAATTAAAAAGAATGCCACTATCTCTTAAGCATATACCACAATCCAGAAGCTCTATGGTAGGTGAGTCACGTGAATTACTTTTAAGATTCGCAGTGCAGATGCAACCAGAATACAAAAATGTCAAGGCCCTTGTTGCACTGGGCCACCTCTCAGACCTAGAAGCTCAACAGATACTTGAATGAATCGTGAACACTTTAGGGAGGTATTATTAATCCCATTTAACAAAACAGAAGAAACCAAAGTTCAGAGAGCTTCAGGAACTTGCAAAAGCCACAGAGACAAGCAGCTGCCAAGTCACTGGTTTTTACCTAGGCCTTCTTAAAGCCAAAGTCCGTAAGACAATGCTACAAACCCAATCACAAAAACCACGTTGAAACAGATCCTGTCTGAATTTCTCCGGCCTTTTACCACTAGGAGGCAACATTCCCTACACATTTTCAAATACGACAAAGATTCACTTCTGGAAAGGAAAAGCTCATCATGTGATCTTTGGGGCGCAGTGACCACTTGAAAGTCAGCACTGCTGGAACAGCACATGGTGTAAGTGGTCGAGTTCAAGGCCAAATCCTACCATTTACTGCGCATGTTATTTTAGGGGAATTTGGTCCACTGGGTCTATAAAACAGGAGATGACATTAGCCCTTATGCTTGGAGTTAGTATAAAGATCCAGTGAAAAGATGCAAATAACAAAGTCTGCATTTATGCAAAGCCCGGATATACGTCAGGTTCTCTGAATGTGCTTAGTGATTTATTCCCGTAACTTCATTCAAGTCCTATCACCAGCGAGCAATCAACACAAAGGCACACTCAGTGCAGTCAAGTCGGTCCCTCCACTGGGTTCCAAGGCTGGAAAGCGTCTCAGAAGAAGCTGCCCGCCTCACTCTTGACGTACAGCTGCTGGATACCAACACGCCTGGACAGGAGGCCTTTCGGTCAGCCATGCAGCTCACTATAGACTAGGGCCCCAGGGCTTGGAACAGATACTATTATCTCTCTCTTTACAGATAACAAAATTTGTATCAGAGAAGCTAAGTGATTTGCCTACGGGTATTTTTTTTTTAAAAAAAATATTGGGATTAGGTATTATTGTCATGACATGAGTCCAAAACGAAAGCTGCATAGTGGAGTGGACTTGGGGGGGGAGGGACTGTATAACAATGAAAGAATTTTACTTTTCAAAGTGAAGAACAAACTGGAGGGAAGGGGTGGGCAGGAGGAAAAGTGCAACAATGAATGAATGGAAATCCAAAATCTCTGTAAATTTTCATTAAAATTAATAATATAAAAATACTGGCTTGCTCACAAAGTTCCTATACATTGTGTTTCATACCATCATTTCCATGCATTATATTTTATAAAATCAACCACCACTGGACCTTGCCCGTAAAGCTAATAAGCTTAGATTCCAAGTCTGACTGAGACCACAACCCACAGTGCTCCCACCATCTACCCATCCCAGCCTCTGACTGTAGCATGAATGATTGCCTATCGCTGAGTGAAGGGAGGAGGGCCAGGTAAGAAAAGCAAGTCAATTCAGAATGGGTGAGGCCACCACCTTTCCTAGGAGCTCTCAGAGCACTCTATCAGCCTCAAGTGTAACGCTCCGTGCAGTCCTCAGACGTCAGTAAGGAGTCAGAAGTGAGCCCCAAGGGATGCCAACCCACACCTGCATTGTGCTGGATATTTTCCTGTGACATCTCACATGATGATCACACTTTCCACATCTCTAAAAAGTCCAGGTGGCTGAGTCGGTCAGCTCAGGTTCACCCTTCAGAAAGAAACTCTTGACATGCCAGCTGCTTACAGAGTACTTGACCAAGAAACTGTCCTCCCTACATGGACTGGTTAACAGTGAAAGGGGGCAAGACCTGGCCCCAAATCGACCTTTTCTTTCTCCTCAAAATGAAGTAATGCTATTATGAAAAACCTCCCTTACAAGTAGAATTTTAATTAGAAGATTACATCTTCATGGCAATCTTCCATCAAATTTCCAAAATGCCATTTCTCCTGTAAATACTCAGGAGAGAACACTGCCTCATCCTATAAAGTGGCAGTGACTTGAACCACCAACTCTTCTAGTTAGTAGTCCAACATCAAACACACTATGACACCAAGAACATAATAGACATTGATAATTTCTGGCTGAATCGAGATTCTTTTTTTAACTTTTAATGACCAAGGGTTTTTTCAGTTGTTGGTTGTTTGGTCTTTTTAATCATATTCTCAAAATTACTAATTAATGCTTCTAGCTTTTAACAGCTTAGAATCACTGGATGGTCAGGAGTCTGGTTCCCAAGAAGATGTTTCAGAGCTTTGTCAGGATAGGGAAATCCACTAGTCAAGTCTGTAGGGAATGCAACCAGATTCCAAGCCCCTCTCACGGTGGGAACTCAGCTCTCCACCTGCTGTTTCACCAGCCCTTTCCTGGTAAAGAATAAAAGCAGCCAGCAAGCTTCAGGCAAGTCTCACTAAACAAACTCCTGGCCCTGTCTTTTTATTCACACAGAAGAGAGCTCCCCAAGTCAAACTCCCCAGTACAAAGGATTCTTCTGCCTGCTCTCTTGTTAGGAATGCCACACCAAAATGCTTTGCTTTTCTTTTTATTGAATGAATGAGGCTTTCCAGCAATTCCTTTGAGACTTTTCATTCCTTAACAGGAAGCAGGCATGGAAGGCCTGCAGCTTCAGGCATGTTTGATGGAAAATTAAGTCAGCACTTCTGGTGAGAGAAAAGGAACTGCCATACTCAAGGTGACAAAGATATGGCAGAGTGGAAAAGACTAGGATTCCGAGAAATAATGCAGAGCTCCAAGTCTACTTCTTAACGGCGTGATCCAACAAGTGACAGCATCTCAATGTGCTTCAGTTTCCTCGTTGGGCTTTTAGGTATAATAACCATAGCAATGGGGATTAAAGGCAGGAGATCACAGAAAGCACCCGTCACTCTGCACTGCCAAACATTCAGTAAATAATAACTGTGTCTGGGCCAAGACATAGAAGCCTATCAGAGAAGCCAAACACAGACAAACACTGTGAGCTGAGTGACCTTCAACCTGGGCATCAGACACAGCTGGAATGTTAGAAATCAGTCCATCCAGGAAACCCCGAGGTGATGACTCTTGATCTCAGGCAAACATTTGGTCTCCAGGAAATGAAGTGAGCAAGATATCCATGGAGAAAATGTCTACTTCAGGAAAAAAAAGAACTGCTTGCAGGCCCAGCCCTTTACCAAAGTGAATGAACCCTATGAGTCCATTTCTGGCCACAGGCCCCAGTAATGCCAGAAGCACAAGACAGGTGGCCCTGGCAGCAGGAGGAATGAGAGACATTTAAGTAATATAAGATTAAGGAAATTGTCAAGACTTTGTCAAGCAAAGCAAAAGGTTGAGGACTGTATAACCTTAATTTCAAAATAACCTTTCCTCACATTTTTGAAAACAAACATATTTTTATTCCTTTAAGGTAAGATTTATTCTTACCACCAATTAAAATGAAATTGTCTGGAAGAAAGCTATGCATACACATTTAACTAATGTGATAGAGAGAGAATGTTCTGATGAGCTAAATAATTCATCTCGGAATACTGCAGAAAAGTGCTTTTCATCTTTTCAACTGGCTGGATTTCATCTGGAAGCTAGCTGTTTGCAATAGTGAGAACATGACAAGGTTTCTCCCTCGGGTGCTGTCAGCTGCTGGGAAGTGTGTTGGTAAAAAAAAGGTGGTGCCTCCCCTGGGGTTCAGCCCATGAGCGGCAACTTGGGAGGACAGTGGGCAACTATCTCCCGTATAATTCTTCCAACTTTGGAAAGCCCTGGAAGGTCAGCTGTGAGTTGGTGCCAACTAGATGGCAATGGCCCTGACTTTTACCTCAGGACACAAGTCACTTAACTTACCCAAGATGCCAATGTTTTGGGCTTGTCTGGACTAAGGTGCCATGGGATGAGGAACTGAGTGGGGCAAAGAGAAGAAACACTTTCTCTTCTAGGAAGAATTAACGTTTATATCACAAAACTGAACATAAACAAATCTTCTATGGTACCAAGCATCCTTCTGATAACTTTATCTCTTGGGACTTTAGAGAAGAGAGACTTGATTAAAATTGACTCACTTGGAAATTCAAATCAATGTTAGAAAAATATTTTTCATTTACAGAAAGAACAACTCAATAGGATAAAGCAATGTTGTCATGGTAACAGCAACAGCACCTTCTAAGGGTGAGTGTGGTGTGAGGCAGACACACGCCCAGACGGCGCTCTCTGGTGGAAAAGGTGCTGCACCCTGTGCATATGGCTGCAAGGGGCCGCATCTCAGCTCCTAAACTGTCAGGGATACTTCTAGTCTCCCACTTCTGGTATCATGGATTCCCTAAATCTCAAAGTCTTTTTCATGGCTGTAGTGGAGGGTTGAGAGCTAAAAGGATGTTGAGTTTCTGGGGAAATTAGTGGTTTATAAATCCACAGACCAATATTCACTATCATCATCACAAAAGTGAACTGCAATATTTGAAATGAAAAGTTTCAAAAGCACGTCTGACTCAATCAAAATCTTTGAGCCAATGAGAAAGCAAAAATTGCTGAAATTTATCTTTTGAAGAACACAAAAAATAATGTTCGAATGTAGGAGAAAATGCAAGTTAACCAGCTCCTCCCAGTTTAAAGAAATTGGTATCAGCTACACAAAATGTGTAAATTCTAAAAATGTCACAAGAAAGTTTTCTTTCGATGGGTGTCTGCCAAGTTTTCTGACTTGTATTTTTCCCCTTTGTTTTTAACCCCCATAACCAAGGGATGGGGCGGAGATTTTTCTTGTGGCAGAACCTCAGGCCAGCTCCGCCAGGCTGTGATGCGAACAGCCTTCTATGAAGCAGCTTACCAGGTTTTTCAGCAGTGTGGACAGTTCCTTCGTGAGTGTGGAGAACTTGACGAAAGCAGTGCCAAGATCTGGGTTGTCACGACTTAAAAAATTGCTCCCAAACTTATCAAGAACTTGTGCATAGTTTTCTTCATTTTGTACATGATCTAAAAATAAAAAAAGAAAAGATAGAAGACTATGAGCTATTATGAATCACAATGAAGTCATTCTGAACAAAGACCACTAGACACTCTCACCAGGAGCACAGAGAAGATGCATCAACCATGAACTCAACATGCCCAGAAGGGGGTCAGCGTGGTGATGCGCTCTCTCACTCCATGAAAGGAGGCTTCTCCTGTCTCCTTCACAGCACTGGGCTCCCATTCATACAACTAATCTTCACCACTCATCACAGGCTTAGGTGTCAAATTAGAATCCATTTTCAAGCAATTAAAAAGTGGTTATTTTAGACAAAGTGCTAGTCTATAGGCCTTTTATTGTAAGAACCACCTTCCCTCTGTAACTTGATTTGTGCCACTACTAGAACCCCTACTCCGAATATTATTGCTTGTTAATTTTTGACTCATGTACTTTTAACTTTTTAGTTACATTTGTGTCTTCTAGGTTGCAACACATCCATGATACATCTTCAAGGATATAAACATGTATGGCCAAGCACAATTAATAACAGTGCATCTAAATTCCAAAATCAATCTCCATAATAGTCTATGTGTTTCCTACTGCCAAAGGGGCCCTTTAGAGTAGTGAGATAAGCCCTTCACCCTGAAATCCACAGCGTCTCTTTTCAGGAGGAAGTAGCTAAGAGAATACGCCATCCCCTTTTCCTTATGAATCAGGGTGAAGTCTCTCTCAGGGAGGGGTGATAGGGAATGGCAAGGGACACACTGACAAAGGAGATTAATCAGAACTGGCTTTGACAAGCACTGTGGCAATGGGACAA